ATAAATGTTTAATTTGTTAAGAAGGTTGGATTTAAGACGAATTCCCAGAAAATTGCCATCCTATTTGTGGAGATGGAATCATTCAAGGTTAAGAAGAATGCGATGATGGTAATCTAATATCAAATGATTCTTGTTATTTATGCAAATATTCATGTATACAATTTTGTTCAATTTGTTAATTTGGAATTTGTTTATAATGTTAAGATGGATTTATTATTAATGCTAAATTTAATTGTGATCCTTTATGCGGGGATGGTAATTTAATTCCTTATTCAACTGAATAATGTGAACTGACAGTTAATTGGGGATAGGATAATTGTTTTGAATGCAGATTTATACCAATTGAATATTGTAAAACCAGCTACTTTTCATTTTGCTTAGAGTGCGAAGTGGGATTTTACATATATGAAAACAAATGTTTCCCTTATTGCGGAGATAAATTAATTCTTGAATAATATGAGGATTGTGATGAAAATAATTAGCAACCTAATGATGGTTGTTTTAATTGTAAATTTCAATGCATTGAAGATTGTAACATATGCACAGGAGGATAATGCATTTAAAAATGTGAAGATGGGTATGAATTTGTCAATAAAAGTTGTCTTTCTGTTTGTGGTGATCAAATTATTACAATAGAAGAGGATTGCGATGATGGTAATTTATAACCCTATGATGGTTGTTTTTATTGCAAATATTCTTGTCCAGAAAATTGTTTTGATTGCTATTAAGGTACTTGTTTAGAGCGCAATTACCAGTACTAATTACTAATTTCAAATCAATGCAAAAAGTAATTAACTTGTGGAGATGGATATCTATAGGTATAAGAGGATTGTGATGATGGAAATTATTAAGCAGCGGATGGATGCAAGGATTGTTTAATTGAATAAAATTGGATCTGCAGTACAATTACAAGAGATTCTCCTAGCTTATGCTCATTTGTCAAAGCTCCAAACTTAATAATTAATTATATCAATATGACATAAAATAAGTAGTATATAAGCATCTAATTTGATTAACAAGTAAAAATATAAACAACTTAACCCTTATCAGAAACTATAGAATTTGAAATAAAAAATATAAAAAAGAAGAACTGGATTAGCAGCTTATTTATTATATAGGATGTTGGATCAGAAGTAAATTTTGGAGGATTTGTTGTCTATATAGAAATATAATAATTACTTTAATTTAGGCCAATCTTGAAAATTAAAGTAAAATAGACTAATGCTAATATATATGATGCTGTTTTGAATAATGTTGAAAAATCAATAACATTGTAATATCCGAAATTTCTTGATGAGACACAGAAGGAATATTCTTACAATTTGAAAAATTTGAATAAATATATAATTTATAGTTTGTCTGGAGTTACTGGTTTAAGTTTACTATTAGGAAGTGGGGATTTGTTTGTTGAAATTTTGGCAATTCTTTAATTCTAGCTATACTTAAGATACATTAATCTTTAATATCCAGAAAATATAGAGATTTATTTTACTTTTAATGATATGATAACTATTCAACCTCTACTAAAATTTATCTATTTTCCTCAACTTTTATAGCTTATTAATATATAGTTAAATTAAGAATATTCTGAAGGAAAATTCAATGTGTACAAATAAAACACTAACTTGATCATCAATCTTTCATGCCAAATATTTTAATTCCTAATGTTTGTATTCTTTATTTTGTGTTTTCAATGGATTAAAAGGTTTTGTATAAATGGATATTCTGTTCTCGGTACTTTTGCTGTATGTCATCTTTATCATTATATATAAATCCAAAAATAATCTTTAAGTTTAGTTAATCCTTTTATAACATTTGCATGGAACTACTTAAATTGAAAAGATTTATGTCTTTTTAAGGATTATAAAAAGCCTTATTTCTAAATGGCTGGGATATGATATTTAAAACATTATTGTATACAAGAAACATTTTAACCAAAAATTACATAGATATTGTACAAATTATTATCGCAATCATAATACTTATCCTTTATTTTACCATTTTCCTAAATTTCTTTAAAGGTAAATCAAAATTATCAAAGAAGAACAGCTACTAAATGTTTGAAATGCTGAGTTTTGGTAGATAATTTTTCTTTCTATTATTTTTAATTTATGTATAGAGTTCCCAAATACTTTAATTAGGATTACT